TCTTTGATGCACCCTTCACCCTACCATCTCCTGGCTCTCCTCTTACCTATCTGACCACTCCTTCTTGCCGGATCTTTATCCACCTCTTCCCCCAAAGCCACATTGTAACTTTTTTTTTTAAGGCAATTGGGGTTAAGTGACTTGCCCATGGACACGCAGCTAGTAAATGTCAAGTGTTTGGTCTGAGGCCGGATTTGAACTCAGGTCCTCCTGACTTCAGGGCCAGTGCTCTATCCACTGCGCAACCTAGCTGCCCCCACATTGTAACTTCTTGTTGTGCCCTCTGGGGCCAAGCAGAACAAAGCTAATCCCTTTCCCTGCTTACCAACCCTTCAAGTACTTGCAGACAGCTCTTGTAACCTCCCCTAGTCTTCTCTAGCCTCACTCCCCACCCCCATTCGCAGATCTTCAAGGCCCTTCCCCATCCTGGCTACCCGCTCTGGACACCCTTTAGTTTAATCAACATCCTTCCTAAAATGAACTGGACACGAGGCTCCAGTGTCTGACCAGGTCACTTCCCCTTTCCCGACTGCCTCTAGGATAAAATAGAAAAATAGCAGCTCCTCTGTTTAGCTTTGAAAGCCCTTCCCAAGCTTTCCTCAATTTATTGGACATTTCCACAGCCTCTTTCCCTCTGTCATTAGCCCAAATGACCTTCTTTCTGCTTCTTAGGCACTCCATCTACCACGTCCATTCCTTTGTCATGACAATACCCAAAGCCTGGAGTGCCTGAAATGCCCTCCCTCCTCACTTCTACCTCACAGAATCTCTCTCTTCCTTTATTTCTCTCTCTCTTTTTTTTTTTTGCTTAGGCAATCGGGGTTAAGTGACTTGCCCAGCTAATGTCAAGTGTCTGGAGACCAGATTTGAATTCAGGTCCTCCTGACTGCAAGGCCAGAGCTTTATCCACTGTGCCACCTAGCTGCCCCTCCCTCTCTTTCTTGAAGACACAGCTCAGACATCACATTCAACACAAAATCTTTCCTGATCCCCCAGCTGCTAACACCCTCCCTCCTAAGCTACTTTGCATCTAATCACTTTGTATTTATTTGTATTGATATACAAATCCACTTACACAAATATACACAGCTACACTTATACACGTATTTATACTGTATACACTTAGAAGTGTATTTATACCGTATATACTTATACATGTACATGGGGTCTTTCTCATTAGAATGTGAGCTCATTTTGAGTTGGTATTGTTTCGTTCTCTGCACTTGTATTCCCAGCACCTAACAGAGTGCAAGACAAATAGTCAGCCCCCTCTCTTTTTTAGCTAGGCAATAGGGTTAAGTGACTTGCCCAGGGTCACACAACTAGTAAGTGTTACATGTCTGAGGCTAGATTTGAACTCAGGTCCTCCTGAATCCAGGTCCAGTGCTCTATTCACTGTGCCACCTAGCCGCCCCTTTCCATACCTATATTAATGTAGCTTATGGTCTCATTGGGCATATTTTGGTCTCCATGATAAATTATTGACTCGTATTGACTTTGTGGTCCACTGGAACCCCTAGATCTTCATCACACAAATTATTGTGTGGCCCTGCCTTTCCTGTGTTATCTCCTCCTTGAATTCCCCAAAGCACCTTATTTGGACCCCTCCCCCTGCCCCGAATATATCTAACCCTCCCTTGTATCATAATTATTTCTGTATGTCTTCCCTCCTATTCGATTGTATCCCATCTTCAATGAAGAGCCTTTCCTAATCCCCCTTAATGCTAGTACCTTCTGTCTACTGACAGTCTCCATTTTATTCAGTTCAGACCTCATTGGTATTTGCATGTTGTGTCCCCCATTAGACCGTGAGGTCCTGGAGGGCAGCGACTATCTTTTGCCTCTCTCCCCAGAACTTAGCACAGTGCCTGCCACATAGTAGGTGTTGATCAATGTGTATTGACTGACTAGTCCCCAGGGGAGCACTTTGTTCCATGGGGCCTACGCCCCTCATCAGGATGCATTGCCCGGTCTGACTGATGGTTTGAGGGTGGGCCAGGCGAGGCAGGACACTCACTCTGGCTGGCTGTGTAGACGCTGGCAGCTGGGAGGGGAGCCTCCTTCACTGTCTGGGACATGAAGGAGAACTCGGGAAGGCACGGCATGATGGAGCCCAGCACCAGGACGAAACATAACACCACCACCTGGAAACAGAGAGAGAAGGCCCCCGTGCCCTAGTGAGCCATGGAGAGGAAACAGCTGCCTGTCCCGGCAGATGTGGGCCCACCAGGGTGAGAGGCTACATGGGTGGCACCCATCCTTCCTCCCAGGGCCATGCTGACGGAGCAAAAATATCGAGGGGTGGGGAGCATAAGTTATCCCTGCCACCATCCAAGGGGCCTGTGTGGGTGGCCACCAGGCGGGGCAGTGTTGGAAAAGAAACGTCATGATCAGCCCCATTTTAGGTAGAATGAAACAGACACAGAGGGAGGAAGTGACTTGTCCAAGGTCATACAGGTAATAAGGCACAGCTGGTAGGCTCCTGGGATTCTACATCCCAGCTATGGAGAAAGGGACAGGTAAACTTTTATTGTAGGGCAACCTGCAGGCATATTTGCTACCTTAAATGACTCCCAGGAAGACAAGAGGCAGCTCGAAGGCATAATGGATGGAGTCAGGAGGCCCTGAGTTCAAATCCTGCCTCAGAAACTAAGTTGGTTGTGTGACTTTGGGCAATTAATTCACTCTACCTCTGTAGGCCTCAGTTTCCTCATCTGTAAAATAAAATGTTTGGACTCAATGGCCTTTAAGGTCTCTTCTAGCCTAAATCCATAATCCTAAATTCTAGCCACAGGACCCAGGGGAAGGCTGGGTTCAACCTGCTAGGGTCAAAGAATGGTTTGCCCATTAGGTAAGGGAGCCATTGCCTGGTGGCTCCCAGGTGTGTGTGTGCATAAACCTGCTTTCCAGCTTTTCCAGGGGATAGGAGGAAACAGTAATTAAGCTTTCTTAGACATATAGAGGTTTGCTTGGCCAGCTTGTTGGAAGTTGTCACCCCCAATTTAAAGACCTGAAGGAGGGGGAAGCTAGGTGGCACACAGTGGAGTCAGGAAGACCTGGGTTCAAATCCAGCCTCAGATACTTGACACTTACTACCTGTGTGACCCTGGGTAAGTCACTTAGCCCTGATTGTTTCACAAAAATAAATGAATGAATGAATAAATAAAAAATAAAGATCTGAAGGACCAGCCTCTGGAAGGGATGGACTATCACCATCCCCTTGCCCTGGTGCTCACAAACAACGGGTGGATTCTGCCCACTCTCACCCATAAAGAGAGTCCCTGGAGAGACCTGAGGACTATCCCGAGAGAGGAAGGGCATTGATCCAGTGGGAGGAAGGTACCACCAGTGCCATCATGGCACACGGCACTGATCCTTGGAAACATCCCCTTCCCAGCACCCCCTCCCCTTGCCCAACATCCTGGGCATTTGCCCTGGCTTCCAGGAGACAACAATCTGGCCCTCTTTGGAGTGACTGAGGCAAAGGAAGCAGAAAGAAGAGGGGCAGACCCCACCCACCATGATGCAGGTGCCAGTCTGGGTGGCAGCCATCTTGTAAGGTCTGGAGAGCTTGCCCGTCACCAGGGCCTGGAGCTTCTGTAGCTGCTGGAGAAGAGTTCTGAGGAAGGCAGGAAGGAGAGGTCACCAGAATGAATGGCCCTGCCCAGCCCCCCACCCCAGCACCAAGGCAGAGCAGCGACGCAGAGGGTTAATGCTTCCTTTGCTCCTTCAGCGTCTCTGACCCCTCAGTCTCATCTGGGACGTCCCTGAAATATCACGGCAAGGGGCCTGAACTTCAGACACCTCCATTCCCTTTCTGTCTAAGGCAGGATTTGAACTCAGGACTTCCTGACTTCAGTGGGAGGGATGGCCCATCTCCATCTTGCCTGTGGTACAGTGCTCTGTGGTCTGAGGACCTGAGTTTAAATACTGAGGCTTAGGGGCAGTAAATGGCTCAGTGGATAAAGCGCTGGGTCTGGAGTCAGGAAGACCCAACTTCAAATTCTACCTCAGACACTAGCTGTGTGACCCTGGGCAAGTCACCTAACCCTGTCTGCCTCAGTTTCCTCATCTGTAAAATGAGCTGAAGAAGGAAATGGCAAACCACTCCAGTATCTTTGCCAAGAAAATGAAGAGTTGAACATGGTTGAAGGACTGAACAACAAAACCCTGGGCAGATCATTTATTTCACTGTCCTGAGTCTCAGTTCCCTCATCTGTGAAATGGCAGGAGTTGGTTCAGAAGACCCCATTCCCAGCCTGGTTATGGACAGGCGGTGTTGAAATTCCTAGAGTGTCCAGAAGGTGGCAGCACAGCTCCAGCAATGTGCTCCCTGCCCCGGGACAGAGCCACACAGGCGGCTCCAGAACAGGGTCAGCGAGAACTGCCGCCATGCATCCCTCTACCTCTTCCCCCTTCCCCCACTAGTGAAAGCCCTGGCCGAAGGTGGAGTTGACCTGTCTGCCTCTCCTTCCCTCTCCCCCACACGTGGAGAAAGAGAGCCCAGGGAAGAGGAGGAGAGGGGGCTTCTCACCTTAGCATCGCTGACCTCAGGTCCCTGTCCCACGTTCCCCGAGGGCCCCTCTAATGCCCAAGCCCCTTGTTTGACGGAGGAGGCAACTGAGACCCAGAGGGGAAACCGCTGGGGAGAAGTCACCCATGAGAGAGTGGCAGAGAGGGCTGAGACCCCCAGGCTCCGACTCCTGGCCCGAGGACCCAGCCCCCTCCAGATCAAGATAAGGAAGAAAGAAAAGTACTTGGCTAGGGGCACACGGCTTGCTGGCGGCAGAGACAGGGTTCTATCCCTACTCTTCCAAATCGGTGCTGTTTCTACCTGCCCACAATTCCTCACCATATTCCCCATTCTAACACTTAACCAGACCCAAGGTGTCCTAATGATAATAATAACTAACATTTATATGTCAGAAAGATCTGAGTTCAAATGCGGCCTCAGACACTTACTAGCTATGGGACCCTGGTCAAGCCATTTAACCCTGTCTACCTCAGTTTCCTCATCTGTAAAATGGGCTAGGGAAGGAAATGGCCAACCATTCCAAGAAAATCCCAAAAGGGGTCACAAAGAGTCAGACACAACTGCCAAATGACTGAACAACAACAAAGGTGCCATTACGATCCCCCTTTTACTGCTGAGGCGATGGAAAGTTAGGACAAGAAGCTTATCCAATAACTCTAACAACAGGATTCGAAACCAAGTCTTACAGGTTCCAAGCCCAGCACCCTACCCACTGTTCCACACTGCCTCCTGAGGAACTCAGTGCCACGCTGGGTGCCCCCCACTGAAGGCTGTGACCAAATCAGGCAGCAACATTGGCACCCAGGCAAAGGCCGGGGAGGGGGCGCTGCTTACCTGTTGGCATTCTCCAGGGTTTCCACCTTCTTCCATAGCTCATTATTCTCTGATGTGAATGTCTCAACTCTGTTGGGGTCAAGTGGACACCAGGTTCAGAGTTGGGGGGGAGGAGGGGGAAAACCCCGGTGGGGCCGTGACTCTTGTCATCCTGGGGCCGCCCACCCCTGCTGTCCTCTCCCCTGGGGCCCCCCTCATTCTGGCTCCTGCCTCCACCCCTCCCAGACTGCCCAGGATCCCACCCCTGACCCTCTGGTGTCCCTGGATAAAAATATACAGGCCTAGCAGGGAGGGACTCGCCCTTTCCAAAGGGGCCTCATTTTTTTAAAAAGCCAACAATAACATTTTTCAATGAACAAACATCAGTTTTCTTTACTTCTCATCGCCCTCCTTGTTGAATAGAAAAAAGAAATAAAAAGAAACTCAGGCTCTTACTTCTTCTCTAGACACTCCACATATTCCTTCTTCTTCCGGCGACTCTCCTGGGCAGATATCTGGAGAGAAAGGACCCACAAGGGGGATGAGGTTTGGGAATGCTGCTGCCCAAGATTCTCCTTCTTAGCCCCCCACTCCTATGCAGCGCCACTAGCAGCAGCCCCAGCCTGAAGGGCTGGTCACAGTTCCTAGGATCTTAGAGGCCACTGTGTCCAACACTGTCATTTTACAGATGAGGAAACTGAAGCCCCCAGGGAAGGAAAGTGCACAGGCTAACCTAGGAAGTAAGCATCAGAGCTGGGATGACCTCACATTCAGGGGTCTAGAAATGTCCCTGGGGGGCACCCTTCCTCCTCCTGATGGTAGACCCTGAGGCCTGAAGTCACCCCCATACCTTATTCTTGATTTTCCTCCTGACCCGCTTTAAGGCCTTCTCCTCAGCTTTGGTGAGGGGGAGTTTGGTGGGGATGGGGTAGCCCTCTGCAATCAAAGTACGTTTCTCTTCCTCTGTCAGCAGCAGTGGCCCGGACGTTCCCTGGAGCTTCTGGAGGACACACATTTTGGGCGGGATGGGGAGAAGGACTTTAGAGAAAGCTGCCCTTGCCTTTGAAAGCCCAAATCAGATTCATGTTCAAGAGCCAGGTTCATGCTTTAGTGCTACCCATTGGCCCTCATATCTTGGAGGATGGGGAAGGAAACATTCCTTGGGTGGGACCATCCTTGGCATCCACCTTCCAGAGCTTGTTCATCAGAGATCTCTGCCCTTCCCTCACCCCCATCCCCCACCATGCTCAAGATACCATGAGAGATGGCGGCAGCTCTGTTGCCAGATGTGCCCTCTGACCTCCAGTGCATGCCCCTCCCCCCAGCCCCAAGCTCCGAGGATTCCCGATCCAAGCTAGAAGGGACCTCACAGGCTGCCTAGATAAATCCTTCGATTTTACTCTCTTGGAAAATGAAGCCTACGGAGGGTAATTGATTGGCCTAAGGTAGTAAGTAGCAGGGGGGAATTTGAACCCAAGACTTCTCTTTCCAGAGCTAGTGGCTTTTCATTTTGGGAACATGATCCCACAGGAAAGGAAGAGGAGGGGGTCGTTCTTTCCATCTGGATTCCTAGGACTCCCTCCCCTTAACTCAAATGCCTCCCTCCTCAGAAGACTCAAAGCTCCCCATTGGCAGGCTCCTCATCCTCCCACCATAGGGCTCCCCACTTCCTACTTTCTTACATGTGGGGCAGTGAGGAGGGGAGAGGAAGAGATGGCCGCGGATGAACGTGCTGTGGGCCGGGCTGGGCTGGACGGCGGCAGAGATCGGGGGCTCTGGGAACCGTCGCTGTCACTGCCGTGGCTGCTCGGTGGTGTCGGTGGCATCTGTACCAAGTCATCTGAGAAGAGTCCAGGGAAATCAGGTTACTGTGACCCAGCTCCCAGCCCTGACTTCCCATGGCCCCACCCCGATCTGACATCACAGGGACCAGTTACTGGGATCTTGCCTCCTACTCAAATAGAATATCCTACGGTTTAGAGCTTAAAGAGTTCATGGAGACTACTCATTCCAATTCTTCTATTCTGTAGAAGAGGGAACTCTTCAGGACCAGTTTACCATAGACAGTGCTCAGCTTTGCCATCACAGACTTGATTACAGGAAGGCCTCACCCCAGCTCCTGAGACTCTAACCTCAAGGAAGGTTTGGTTCAGTTATCTAAATGAACTTCCCAGAGATATAACTAAGGTAGGGCATTTGGAGCTTTGCCCTAGGGAGCTGAATTTAGAGGGAGCACTTACACAGTCTTCAGGAGCATAGTAACAATAGGGCTTAGTGTGTTGTTAAGAAGAAGAATAAATTAAAAATACAAAGCTTTTCCCCCACCCTGTTCCCTTCATCCTTCCCCTCCAAATGAGGGTAAGCTTTGTGTCCATTTTTTCCAGGTGTGTGGTACCTATCCTGGGCACAAAAATTCCTAGTTATGGCTCTGGAACTGCCCATGCCCAAGTAAGAATCTGTTTTCAAGCCCAACATTGATCCACTCAATAAATGTTTATTAAGGGTTCTGTGCTAGGCCTGCTATGATGATACAAACATGATATATATATATATATATATATATATATGTGTATATATATATATACACATATATATATGTATGTATATATATATGTGTGTGTATATATATATATGTATGTATGTATGTATGTGTATATGTATATATATATATATAGCCCCTACCCTGAGGAGCTTGAACTGAACTTTTACTTACTTAGGCTCAGGGAATAAGTGACTTCAAGTTAGTCATCATTGTGGGCCTCAGTTTCCTCATTTGTGAAGTGAGGAGGTTCGTGGGATCACTGTTTTAGAGCTAGAAGGGACCCCCAGGGCTATCAAGCCTAAACCCCAGAAACATTCAATATATACTCCCTCACCCCCAGCAGGGCTCAGAGCCCAGCCGCTAATGCCCAGGGAGCAAGGCACAGACGGGATTGGGACATTCCCAGATACCCACTGGGAATGCCTTCTCCTAAGGACTTCCTTTTGAGTGAGGGATGTTTTTGAAGATCTTTCTCTGGCCTCTCCTTTCATCTGACTCTTTCAATGGTTAAATAGTAAGACCAGGTACAAAGTATAGGAAAGATCTAAGTGGACTGGGGAAAAGTAGTAGATGACAGGAAGCTAGGTAGTACAGTGGACAGAGTGCTGGGCCTGGAGTCAGGAAGACCTGAGTTCAAATGTGACCTCAGACACTTACTAGCTGTGTGACCCTGGGCAAATCATTTCACCCTGTTTGCCTCAATTCATCATCTGTAAAATGAACTGAAGAAGGAAATGGCAAGTCACTCCAGTATCTTTGCCAAGAAAACCCCAAATGGGGTCACAGCTGAAAAATGATTGAACCACAGTAGACATGAGTGTAGGAGAGTCTAGAACTTTCCAGAGCACTTTAAATGCCAGGGAGGACTTAAAATAGTTCAGAAAAAAAAATAGCCTTGGTGAAAAGGGTTCTGACTGGAGAGTTTAAGGACCTCAGTTCAAATCCTGGCTCTTCCCTTGATTACTACTGCTATTGCTACTACCACTACTACTACTACTACTACTACTACTACTACTACTACTACTACTACTAGTATTACTATTGCTGCTGCTGCTGCTACTACTACCACCACTACCATCACTACTACTACTACCACCACCACCATCACCACCACCACCACCACCACTACTACTACTACTACTACTACTAGTAGCTAACATTTATATATATTTACCATGTGCCAGGTACTGTACTAAGGGCTCTACAAATATTATTTCATTTGATCCTTACAACCACCCTGGGAGATAGGTAGTATTATTATTTCCATTTTACAGATGAAGAAGCTGAGGCAGGCAGAAGCGAAGTGTCACACAGCTATTAAGTGTCTGTGTCTGGATTTGAACTCAGTCTTCCTAACCCCAGGCCTGGGGCTCTAGCCACAGAATGAAGAGGAGGGAATTTTGGGAGGGGGCACTGGCCTCCGGGGGACTCAGAAAAGCTCTCAGGTAGAAGGTGGTGCTTAGGCTGCGTCAGGAATGGAGTAAAGGCTTGTGAGCAGCTGAGGCCCAGATGGAGAGCACTGCAGGCACGGGGTGAGCTAATGGTTTTTCCTAGCCACCTCTGGCAGTACAGATGGTGGGGGATCATAGGGAAAGAAGGGTGGTGAATGGCGACCAGCATCAGGGCTGCTGAGTAATGCAGACAGCATCCTCTCTGAGCCAGCTGGGCCCCCCCTGCCTCCTTACCTGTAGGCACCTCAAGGAAATGATTCACCTCCCTGGGCTCAGCCTTGATCACAGGTGTCTGTGTCATCTCTCCTGGGGCCTGAGAAAAAAACAGTAATAATAGCAAGAGCTCCCATTTCAAACACATCGGAGCATATGTACATTTAACCCATGTGCTCATTTTACAGATGAGAAAACTGAGGCCCAGAGAGGCTAGATCACACAGACAATAAATGGCAGGGTCAACACATGAACCCTGATCTAGCATTCTTTCCACTTGCACTTTCAAGTCCACAAAGTATTTTTCTCACAACTCTGGGAAGTTAGGGTTAACTTTCACCCTGACACGAATTCTGAGGTGTTTTGTACAGATGAAGAAACTGAGGTTCCCAGAGGTCGAGTGACTTACCCCTAGTCACCCAGCTAGAGAGGGCCAGCCTTGCCTCAGATTCCCATGATTGCTGCCTCATCCCTGCCTCCACCCCTGCTCCCACAAACTCTCCCTCTTCTTATCTTTGAGGAAACATGAGAGGAGGCCACGAGTCTGTGGGGATCATGGGAAGGGTGATGGGAGAGCCCACAGGACCCCCAGGATGGCCCCTGGCCACCCCCCAATCTTTCCATGTACACCATGGCCTGAGGGGCCCACAGCCTGACCCTTCATTTCTCAGGGTGGGTTGAGGCAGGGAGCTCCCATTCCTTTGGACGCAGCTCCAGTCAGAGCGAGGAGCCTTCCCTTCATCCTTCGAGCAGCTGGCTCCCCTGCCTCTCCAACAGATGTTTCTGATAAACTGTGGCTTATGGTTAATTGGAGAGCATTTTATTCCCCTCTCTTCTCTCCTCAGCTCCCTTCCTCTCTCCCCTCCCTCCTCTTCTTCCTTCCTTCCTCCTCCTCCCTCCTTGCCCTTCCTCTCCCCCCATTCCCTGTCCCTTTGACCTCACCCTTTCTCCTTTCTTCACAATCCCTCCCTGCTCCCCTTTTTCCCTCTTTCTCCTCCTGTCTCCCTTTCACTTCTTCTCCCCTCTTCTTTCCCCCTTCTTTCCTTCTTTATTTGGCCCCTTTTCCTCCTCCCTCTCCCTCAGTCCTTTTGCCTCACCCCCCTCTGTCTCTCTAACTCTCCCCCCTTTCTCCCTCCCTCTTTTTGACTTTCCCCTTTTCCTGCTTCCCCTCCCCCTCTTCTCCTCCTCTTTTGCCCTCTTTCCTCCTCCCTCCTCTCTTTTCTCTCCCTTCCCCTCCCTCCCCTATCTTTCCTCTTACTTCCACCTCCTCTTGTTTCTCCTTCCCTCTCTCCCTTCCCCCCGTGCCTCATTTACCCCTCCCCTGCTTTCTTCCTTCTATCTCTCTGCCCCTCTCCTCATCTCCTTTCCCCCTCTCTCCCCCACCTTCCTCTTTCTATCTCTCTCTCTTGGTCCTCTTCCCCTTTCTTTTCCCCTCTCTTCCTCTCCCTTCCTCCTTCTCCTCATTCATTCTCTCCCCCTTTCCCTATTTCCCTTTCCCTCCTCTCTCTTCCTCGTCTCTCTCCTCCTTTCCCTACCTCTTCCCTCCTCTCCTTCTCTTTCCCCCCTTGCCTTTCTCCCTCCCTCATTCTGCTACCCTCCTCTTTTCTCCCCATTCCTCTCCCCAGGGGCCCGGGACTCAAAGAGACCTGGTGTATAAATCACAGCTGAAGCCTTCCCAAAGCAGGTGAGGGGGATGGATGGTTGGAAGGGGGGGATGGGGGGTGAAGGGGGGGTGATCCCAGCACAAACAGCCTGGGAGTCCTTTCTTCCTTTCCATCTGGCCTAAGTTTGTTGAGCAGTAGAGAGTGGAACCACGGGGAGGGGGCTTGAATCTAGTCAGATCTGAAGCAACTTCCTTGGTAGGTCCCAGGGAACAGAGACACATTGGGGGCCACCTTCGAACCTCAGCTAGTTGGCAGCTGAATGCCTACTCTGAGTCTGCACCCCAAGAGGCCAGACCCAGACGGATGGAATGCCTTTGTTTAAAGCAGGGAGTGAGGCTGGCCTCCAGCACGGAGGATGGATGGGTGAAATCCCACCTTCACCATCTGGGTTAAGCATGCCTTCTGGTCCTCTTTTTCTTTTCTTTCTTTCTTTTTTTTTTTTTGGTCCTCTTTTTCAAAAGTACCATTAGCCTTAAGTTTTTTGGGCCATATTATGAGTTTCTCATGATATGAAGTTATCTACGGAGGGTCTACAGAGAACTCTGGGCCCTGGCAAGGAGTTGGGGACAGGGTGTTCAATGAAAAGGAAGACAAATTACTGAAAGGGCCTTAGAGGTCTGGGCCAACTCCCTCATTTTATAGATGAGGAAATGGAAACCCAGAAAGTGACTTACCCAAGATCACATAGCCAGTTAAGTGGCAGATATGGAACTACTAAATCATAGAATTTCTAAGTTGAAAGAGAACTCAGAGGCCATCTAATGTGGAGGCTATCTAGTCCAGGGATCTTGATCTAGTCTATCCTGTCCCCAAATGGGAATTCCCACCACAACCTAATGGTTATCCAGCCCTTGCTTGAAGAGTTCAGGTTGGAGTGGGATACAACTGAGAGCCTACATTGGACTTTCAGTGGGCAGTGGAGGGATGAAAAGGTTTTGGGTTCCAGATCCACCAGAGGAGTTCTCAACCTTTTTTGTGCCCATCCCCCTTGGGCAGCCATCTGGTGAAGCCCAGGGACCCCTTCTCAGAATCGTGTTTTTAAAAGCATAAAATAAGAAATGTAGGATTACATGAGAAACCAATTATATTGAAATAAACATGTAATGTTTTTCCCATCCAAGTTTACAGACTCCTTGAAATCTATCCACAGACCTTCTGGGCCTCTAGATTAAGATGCAGAGAGATCTCAGAAGCCATGTAGTATACCCCATCCCTTCATTTTACAGATTAGGAAACTGAGACGTAAAAAGGGAAGTGACTTGCCCAAGATCACACAGGTAGTAAGTGCCAGAGGTGGGTTTAGAACTCAGCTCCTCCAATTTTGAAGCCAATGGATTTTGCACTGTCACTAAATCCAGTCAAAATTTAAATTAATTCAAAGGTGGATGCTTAGTTCTAAAAGAGATCTTAGAAAAGAATTCTTCTCAAAGTTTTAAAAACAAATGTTAAAATTTGTCTTTACATGTAACTGGGGAAAAATAAAATACTGAATAATAAAACAGAGGGGAGAGGGAAAGGAGGGAGGGAGAAAATTCAGAACTTAAAATTTTATAAAAAATGAATGTTAAAAACTGTTTTTACATGTAATTGGAAAAAAATAAAATACTAGTAAAAATGAAAGAAAATAAATAAAAGAAAAAAGAAAAGGGGTTCTTAACCCGAGGTCCGTGATTTAAAAAAAATGTTTTCTGATAACTATTCCAATACAATTGATTTCCTCTGTAATCCTACGTATTTTATTTTATGCATTAAAAGCATTCTAGACAATCTGACTAAATAAAGTTATACTTTTTTTTTAATAAACAAAACCAATGCAGCTAGATTTAGAAGAGAAGTAGGTAACTAGGGGAAAAACTCTTTGCAGCAAGTTTTGCTAATACAGGTCTCATTTCCAAGAACTCATTCAAATTTGTAAGAATGAGAGCTATATCATATTTGATAAGTGGTCCAAGGATATAAATAGGCAGTTTTCTAAGGAAGAAATCTAAGCTATCAATAGCTATATGAAAGATGCTGCAAATCAGTAATGATTAAAGAAATACAAATTAATTCAACTCTTAAGATTCCACCTCATACCCATCAGATTGGCAAAACTGTTGGAGAAGTTTTGGAGAAACAGGCACATAAATGTTCTGCTGGTCAAACTGGGAATTGGCATAGCCATTCTAGATAGCAGTTTGGAACTATGACCTCAAAGTCACTAAGCTATGTATGTCCTTTGACCCAGAGATACCACCACTAGACCTATACTCCCAGGAGATTAAAGAAAGAGGAAAGGGACCCATGTATACAAAAATATTTGTAACAGCTCATTTTTGTGGTGGCAAAAAAACTGGAAACCAAAGGGGTTCCCATCAATTGAGGAATGGCCAATATGAATATAATGGAATATATTTTTAAATTTAAAGATATACTTTCCCCCTCAATTATAGGTTAAAACAATTTTAAAAAAATTATTATTATCCCTCAGTTTTACTATATGCCTGACCTACCTCCTTTCCTGCTGACACACATGATGTCATTTCTCTGGTTTGTATTTTTGTGAGGCAATTGGGGTTAAGTGACTTGCTCAGAGTCACACAGCTAGTAAGTGTCAAGTGTCTGAGGTCAGATTTGAACTCAGGTCCTCTTGACTCTAGGGCCGGTGCTCTATCCACTGTGTCACCTAGCTGTCCCTAAAACAAATTTTTAACGTTTGGGTTTTTTTTTTAAGTTTTCAATTCCAAATTCTATCTCCCCTCCCTCCCCTCCTCCCTTCCCTCTCCCTCCCCGAGACAGTAAGCAATCAGATAGATTATCCATGTGCAATCATGTAAAACATTTCCACATTAGTCATTTTGTACAAGAAGATGAATAAAAGATAAAGAATGAAAGAAAGAAAGTGAAAAATAGCATGTTTCAGTCTGTATTCAAACAATATCAGTTCTTCCCCTGGAGGCAGATATTATGTTTCACCATTAGTCCTTTGGGACCTATTGTTGAGAATAGCTAAGTCAGTCACAGTTCTTCATTGTAACAATGTTGCTGTTACTGTGTACATGGTTGTCCTGGTTCTGCTCACTTCACTTTACATCAGTTTGTGTAAGCCTTTCCAGGTTTTTCTGAAATCATCCTGCTTGTCATTTCTTATACCACAATAATATTCCATCATAATTGTATACTACAGCATGTTTAGCCATTCCCCAATTGATGGACACCCCTTCGATTTCCAATCCTTAACCACTACAAAAAGAACTGCTATAACTATTTTTGTACAAATAGATCCTTTTCCCTTTTTTATATCTTTGGGATATAGACCTAGCAGTGATATTGTTGGATCAAAGGGTATACACAGTTTTATAGCCCTTTGGGCATAGTTATAATGAAATATTATTGTGCTGTAAGAAATGATGAAGGGGATGGTCTCAGAGAAATCAGGAAAGACTTGTATGAACTGACACACCAGGAGAACATTTTACACAGTAATAACAACATTGTTAAGGCAAACAACATTGAAAGCTATGAAAATTCTGATCCACACTATGATGAGCCATGATTCCAAAAGACAGATGATGAAGTAGGCCACCCCCACCCCCTCACCATTCTGGCAGAGAGATGACGGACTCAGAATTCAGAGCGAGACATAGATTTTTGGACATAGCCAATGAGGGCATTTGTCTGGCTTGACTATGCATATTTGTCAGAAGGGTTTTGGTTTTTTTCTCCCCCTAGCAGGGAGGGAGAGAAAATAAATTTTGTTAATTGAAAAAAAATCTTATTTAAAATAAAGTACTAAAATAAATAAATAGAAACAACATTTTAAGAAGAGATATATAAGCTTTATAAGCTTACCAGAGGGGTCCATCACAAAGAAATGATAATGAACCCCTGGTACTAAACCTTCCCTTTTCCCTCGGTATACGCCATTCAGGGATACAGGAAAGCAGTACCCTTGATGCTCCCCCAGAGGGCATGAGCCAGAAGCAGAGGAAATATAATGCAGTGGGTAGAATACTAGACATTGGGCTAGGACACTTGGGATTGAGTCTGTGTTCTGGCTCTTTGGCCATCAATAGGTCTTCAAAATCTCCTTGGAGCCCTGGGCTCAAGACTAGGGAAGGTGCCACGAGAGACCCCTTTACAAGCCCTGTGACCCTAGTAAAAAAACATTACCCCTCTGAGTCTCAGTTTTCTCATCTATAAAATGGAGATAATAATACTTCCACTGCTTACCTCATAGGGCTGTTCTGGGGATTAAATGGGGGTAATGTGAATCAGGCCCCCTCTAAATTTTAGGCCTCATCCTAATAATTGACATTTCTATAGAGTTACAAACACTTTACCTATAGCATCTTATCTGAGCCTCAGCAACCACCTGGCTAACAATTAGTGCTTAATAAATGCTTGTTGATTGTAAAAAAAACCAAACACTAAGAATAGTTTTTACACGCAGTTGGGGAAAAACAAAATTTAAAAAAAAAACATTCTTTTAAAAAAAAAGAAACAAAAAATGTTTGTTGACGGAGTCTCAGAAAGATTAAATGACTTGTTCAGGGTCACAGAATTCATGAGTGCTTGTGGGATTTGAACCTAGATTTGGGCTCTAAGCCCATTGCTTTAACCACTAAGTCACTTTTAAAATGCCTATTTAGAGAATTGAGTTGGAAATGGGTGTGTGTATGTACATGGAGGGCAGAATGAGATGAGAAAAAGAGAGAGCTATAGCCTTAGCCTCTGGTGCTGGTGCTATATAGCACCATGGGTAGTGAGTAATAGTGAGCAACTGAGTCCTAATGCAGGCCTTGAGGTTTATAAAGAACCTAACGTGTATTATCTTAATTGATTCATATAGCAGTCCTTGGAGGTAGGTTCTGTTATTATCCCCATTTTACAGATGAAAAAATTAAGGCTGAGGTAAATGACTTGCCCAGGCCAAACAGTTATTAAGTGTCTGAGCAGGGTAGGATTGGATCTCAGATCTTCCTGTGTTCAAGAACAGCTCTATTTACTACACCATGTACAGGTCTTAGAGTTAGGAAGACTGGGGTTCCAGTCCCGCCACTGCCCCTAGCTATGTGACTATGGTCATTTTAGGCCACCTCTTTGAGCCTCAGTTTCCACATCTGAAAAAAATGGGGATAATAAGTAATATGGCAAGGTGGATGGACTTGGCATCAGGAAGACTTGGGTTCTAATCCAGGCATTAATTTAGAGCTGGATGGGACCTTCAGAGTCATCAAGTCTAACCACCTCATTTTGTAGATGAGGAAACTGAGGCCCTCTCAGACTGAGGCCCTTTCAGATTAGGGAAATGCCTTGCCCAGCATCTACAAGGAAAGGCAGAGCTGGAATTTGACTCTCTCTCTTCTGTTGTGAGTCTTCTGTCATGAGGTAGGCTCAAATGAGGTCACGGATGTTAAATGGCTTGCAATGTTTAAAGCACTTCCTAAATGTCCTCAGTTACCCTGACTGTCCTTTTCAGCCTCTGATGCATCTTCCAGAGCTCAGGGCTCAGAAAGGAGTTCCAAGAGACCGTTTCCTCTCAGTTTCCAAAATCTTTTCCCCCTTGCCCCAAAGCACACGCAGAAACTTGCTTTCTCTAGCAAGGATAATCAGAGCTCACTTTTCCAAAGCGTTTTCCTCACAACATCCCTGTGGGAGAGAATTATCATTTGCATTTTACAGACAAGAAAACCAGAGATCAGGGAAGGGAAACTGACTTGCCCAAGGTTTAAGAATCAGAAAACCAGAGAAAATGACAGCTCTTAGAAGACCAGAGGTGAAGCAGTAGAAGGAGCCCAGAGTTCGGGGTCAGAGGACCTGGTTTCCAATTCTAACTCTGATATTGACTACCTGTGTAACCTTGGGCAAGTTCCCTCTCTCTGGGCCTCATTTCCTCTTCTAAAAAATGAAGGAATTATACCAGAAAGCCTCTAAGGTCTAAATCTGAGATACTAAGCTAGAAAACCTTAGAGATCACTTATTCCAACCTCCTCATAAAAACCACAGGTCATTTGAGTAACTCAAATGACCTGTGGACTTTAGTTAGAAATCTTGTCTCTTCCTAACTCCCAATTTACAGAAGAGGAAAAAGTAGGCCTCTGAGGGGGAGAGGGTGCTGGGCTTGGAGACGGGAGATCTAGGTTTGCATCCTAGCTCCATCCACCTTTAGGGGACTGGCTGCCTCCCCTTTTCAAGCCTCAGTTTCCATATCTGTAAAATGGGGCTTTGTCAGAGGATCACAGAATACGAGGTGACCTTTAGAACATTGGACGAGTATTGAAGCGTGGACTTGAGACCCAGTGTCCCGCCTCCCTCTTAGGCCAGGTCACCATTCACAGCCGCCTCTCACGGCACGCCCCTCCTTCCCCCTATGGACACACACACAAACAAATACCTTTCTCTCCCCTTCCCCCCCACTGGGGCCTGGGAAGATGCCCAGAAGCCAGGGCTCACCTCGTGGGGGGCGGGCAGCCGGGAGAGTGGGCTGAGGTTAAACATCGGCATGTCGGCAGAGGTGGTGCTGATGGGGCCTGGGAGCACAACCGGTGAGGGGGCTGCCAGCTGGTCTCTAGGCAGCTCGGGCCCCAGGTTCTGCTCCTGCTTCACCATGATGGCACATAGCTTATGCCCCAGGGCCCATGCTCCGGGCTCCAGCTCTGTGGAGAAAGGGTTTGGTAAGATTTAGAGCCAAAAAGCACCTTGGAGATCATGCTCCCTGACCCCTTTCTTCCCTTTACAGATAGAGAAACTGAGGCATAGAAGGGGAAGTGACTTGTCTAAGGCCATACAACTTTTCAAGAATGGATGATTTTGGTTCTTCAAATTTCAGGCTCAGTGCTTTTTCTACTCCATAATGCTTATTATCATGAGCCCTCCCACCTTCATGACAGCAAGGGCCGGTCTACCATGCATGCTTTACCCCAGATGTGAGGAGTGCTTACAATCTCTCTCTCTCATGGGCCACCCAAAGGATCCAGAAGACTTGGGTTCCAATCCTAGCTGTCATTTATTATGTGTGTGACTTTGGGCAAGTCCCTTGGTCTTCCTTGGCCTCAGTTTCCTCATTTGTAAAAATAAGGAGGTCAGACTAGATGACCTTCAAGATCCCCCCGGCTCCAGATCTGTGATCCTGCGATTCTCAGAAGTCACCTGCTCCAACTCTCCCATTTTGCAGAGAAGGAAAACCAAGGCCCAGAGGAGGGAAATGAGATTATTGCACCACATAGATCAGAGCCAGATGGGATCTTAGAATCCATCTAATCCAAATCTCATATTTTTGCATGTGTGGAATGATAATAACAACGATAGCTAACATTTACAGAGTACCTACTACGGGCCAGGCATTGTGCTGAGCACCTTATAATGATCTTATTTGATCTGCATAACAATGCTGTGAGGTAGGTGCTATTATTATCCCCATCTTACAGATGAGGAAATGGAGACAAACTAAGGTGAAGTGACTTGCCCAGGGTCACCCAGTTAGTAAGTGTCTGAGGCTGGATTTGAACTCAGAGCTTTCTAACTCCAGGCCTCATGATCTATCCACCGAACCACTCAGCCGCCAAAGGTGGGAAAGAGGACTGTGTCAAACTGGAAAGACTGAGAGATCTTTATATACCTTCACTGGGCTCCTTAGGGACCAGGGGAAGGTAGAGAAAGACCCGGGGTGTAGAGGAGAGCCCACATTGAGCCCCCTGGAAGACCTCAGGCCACACCTCAGGAGGAGAGGGCAGTTCCTGACTACTGGTAGCCAACCCCCCCCACTGAAGGAGGGGGGTTGCCCTAGAGAACAGAGGGAGGGAGTGTATGCAGGGCGAGGTCAGGCTTCCTGAGTACTGCATACAAGGGGTGGTCTGGACCCAAGAGCACGGCCCCTGCTGATGCCCGATGGAGAATACCACCCTCTGCTCTCTTCAGGACACTTGCTGGCTCTGAGTCTGTCTGCATTGTAGAAACAAGATTTCTTATTTATTGGCAGAAAGGCTGGCTGGGGGGGGTAAATTTTAATTTTTTGTGGGGCTGGGAGTGCTTGACTCTTCCAACAATGTGTTCTCTACACAACATATTTTCGGAGATAAGACTATAGGGTATTTGGAAATGGAGCAGGCTCCTTCACTCACCCCATGACCATCGATGCACTGCATGGTACAGTGGAAAGATTGCCATACTCAGTATCACAAGCCCTGGGTTCCAGTTCTGACTTTTGTACTTACTAGCTATAGGACCTTGGACAAGCCACTCCCTACTCTGAGTCTCAGTTTCTCACCTCAACGAAAGGCTTACATCAGGAGTTCTTAACCTGGGGTCTGTGAACTTACTGTAAAATACTTTGACAATCGCATTTCAACATATTTGGTTTGTTTTGTTATCCCAGGTATTTTATTTTATGCATTTAAAAATACAATTCTGGGGGAAGTTAGGTGGTGCAGTGGATAGAGCACCAGCCCTGATATCAGGAGGACCTGAGTTCAAACCCAGCCTCAGACACATAACACTCCTGCTGTGTGACTCCGGGCAAGTCAAGAGCTGGTCCTCAGCACAAACCAAATCACTGAAATGGCTGCCTGGCTGTTAGGAAAGCCCTTGCAGAGGGGAGGACGACTCTGTACCTAGCATTCTTTCAGGTTTATTAGAGCCATGAGTTTTGGTGTTTTTGTGGGGGAGGAAAGTAGGGTCTGAATGACAATAATTTCTCTTAAGAATTGCTTCTGTCCATGTCCAGCCCCCCACCCCTCAAAAAAAGCTTCCACTTTACTATATACTATACTATATTTACTATCGATTATATGCTATAGTATATTTACTATAGACTGTATACTACACCATATTTACTATAGACTGTATACTATACTATATTTACTATAGACTATACACTATACTATATTAACATAGACTGTATATTATACTACACTATATTTACTATAGACTTTACTATATTGACTATAGACCATACTATATACTATATTGTACTATACTTACTATGTACTCTAAAGGATGTTAGGCCTTAAAGGCTGTTGAGTCCAAATCCCTTGTTTTACATTTAAAGAAACTGAAGGTCCGGAAAAAAAAGGAATTTGCATTGGATTACACAGCTCTCGAGTAGCAGAGCTGAGCTCTCCATGCAGGCTCTCTTGAGTTCCCTGGGTCTCTCCCCATCTGCCCCCAGCCCCAGGGAGCTCCAGTGCGGGTATATGTTCTGTCTGTGAAATGAGGAAGTTGAAATTGATGGTCTGCATTCTGGGTCTATGATCCTGTGATCTTTTTCCTAGTCAGAAGTCAAGCAGGGGTTCCTATGAATTTAAAGACGTCAGAGCAGAGCATCTCTTATACATCTGGGTGAGGAGGTCTCAGCTAGGCTCCTCTAGGGATCTAACCTGGCCATCATCAGTGGGAGCTTTGGCACTTAGCGCATTTCAGGGGGTCTGAGGGAGGACAAGCAACAGTGACTTGGGGCCTGGGGAAGTGATGAACCTGGCTGGCTGAAAGCTGCTTGCCTCACCCTGCCCTGTACCCCCTCCACCCACCCCTGGGCCCTTCCTGGAGGGACTGGCAGAAGGTGGAAGAGCCACAGGCCGCCCCTGAGCTCCAGGGATACCCATGTGCTCTTCTAAATTACAGGGCTTGGTCCAGGCCGCCTCCAGGAAGCTGCCCCCTGCAAGGTGCCCACAAACAAATTACTTTAAAAATAGGGTCTGTGTGGGGCAGGCTGAGTGGTAAGTGGAGCCTGGCTGGGCTGGGCTGGGTGAGGGCCGGGGAGCAGAAAGTCTGTAGTGGGCTGAAACAAGCCACAGGATGGGCTACACCCCTGTCCCCGCCCACAGCTTCCGAGATTGGGGAACAGTGGTCCCTTCCTGCCCTACGTCGAGGCACGGAGGAAGAGGTCTGAGGGAGTGCTCACAGCTGGGCAGAAGTCAAATAGGGGGTCCTGCTGAATTGAAAAGCCTCAGACCATCAAGGAAAACCAGTAGGCTTTCCTGCCACCCAAAGCCATAACTAGGGTGGGGCAGGTAAGACTGCCCTGGTTACCAACACTTGGGGTGGGGGAAACACTTCTTTCCCATCCCAGGACAACTAGCCTTTTGTTCAGAGGAGTCATGGGGGTGGTGCATCCTAGGATTGGCCAAAGGAACCGTATTTGGGGCAGGGGAAGAAGGAGACAAGGTAAGCTGTGCCTTATAGGACATTGGCTCAGCTCCTATCATCTCTGTGGATGGTGGAGAGTGCGCTGAGGCTGGGGTCAGAAAGAATCCCATCCGAGACCAGCTGTATGACAGGTCAGTTCACCTTGATGGGGCTCAGTTTCCTCACTGATAAAATAAGAGTGTTGGACCTCTAGGGTCCCTGATCCTCCAGGGTCTGCCTGGGCCACCCCTCCTTTTTCCAATAACTAAATTTGCCTACACATAGTAGGGGGCTTCATGAATATACCCATTAACTACTGCCAGGAGAGTTAGTCATAGCTCTGTCCAGCCTACCCCAGGCCCCAGGGCAGGGCATTTTACAAAAACCTATGCAGGAAGCTCAATTCAGCAGACATCAACAAATCACCTACTATGTGTAAAGCACTGGGCATACGAAAGCAAAAAAAGAGACAGTCCCTGCCCTCAAGGAGCACAGATAAGTAAACAAGGCAATAACCACAGCTAGCATTTATATCAAGCTTAAGGTTTGCAATAATAGTATGTCATTGTTTGAGGAGGGAAAGACCATCTACAACTTTGGGGGGAGAGAGGGAGGGGGTTTGATTGATGGAATTCTTCATGGAGGATCTTAGAATCAGAGCTCAAAGGAAGCTCAGAACCCATCTAGTTCAGCCCTCTCGTTTTACAGATGGGGAAACCGAGGCCCATAAACATGACATGTCCAGGTAGTAATATCAAAGGGTCACAATTTATAGCTGGAAGGGCCATCAGGGACTCTCATCTTACGGGCAGGTAAAAGATGTAGGGAGACCAAAGGATGGGAGTTGGACTCCAAATCTGTCGTCTTCTGAGTCCTCACTCTGGGGAGCCTGGGCAGCTGCCTTCTCCTTCCCTGCCCTCGCCTCTCCTTTCCTCCTCTCCAGCACTCACCTCTTGGGCTGTCCTCCGTCTTGACTGGGATGAGGGGACTCTGAGGGGCTGAGTCACCACTCAGGGAGTAACTGTGCTCCGCCTGGATGCCCGGAGTGGGTGGGTCCAGCTCCATGTCCAACAGAGGGTTCTTCTCAGCCAGGATGGGGTCATCGAAGAAGCTGCTGAAGAGGTCATTGGAGAAGTCCTCCATGTTTTCTGAGAAGTGCTCCAGGTGCTCCGGGAAGTGCTGGCAGGGGGAGAAAGGGGGAAAAGAAGACAGAAGGTCATTGTCTACCAGAAGGTTTTCTCCAAGCAACTAAAACATCCATTCAATTCAATTCAATTCCTGCTATGGACCAGGCTCTTAGGGATACACAGGTGAAAAATGTGTACCTTTATAAAGAATGTGGCATTTTACGGTCTCTTTCCTCAGGGGCCCTAATGGGAGAGAGGGGATATGACATGCTTATAGACAAATATACAAATTCAGGAGTGATAGAGAGAAAGGAAAGAAACAAAGTCTCAATGGAAAATTTGTGGAGGGAAGAAAGACCTCTATTGTAATACAGTGCCTAGACCAGGGTCTCTGTATGGCCTTGTGCTAATTAACTTCTCTATCAACCACTTGGATACAGCCATAGATGGAATGGTTATCAAATTTTCAGATGACACAATGCTAGGATAAATAAACAATATATTTGAGGGTAGAGTCAAGATCTGAAGAGATTCTATAGGTAAGAGGGGCAGCTAGGTGGTCCATTGGATGGAACATTAGGCCTGGAGTCAGGAAGACTCATCTTTGTGAGTCCAAATCTGGCCTCAGACACTGACTAGTTGTATGACCACTTAACCCTGTTTAACTCAGTTTCTTCATCTGTAAAATCAGCTGGAGAAGAAAATAGCAAACCATCCCTGTGTCTTTGCCAAGAAAACCCCAAATGGGGTCACAAAGAGATGGATATGACTGAACAACCATAACAACTAGGTGAAACTATTGGGTGGAATTGAATAAAATGAAGTTGAATAAGTCTAAATGTAAAAACTGACACCTGGGTGCAAAGAATCAATTTCAGTAGTCCAGGATGAGGGAAACATGGCTAAACAGTAGTTCAAATGTAAAACATGTCTGGGTTTTAGTGCTCTTTAAGTTCATTTTCAGTTAATAGTCTGATAAAGCAGGCAAGAAACCTTTGGTTGCATTGATATGCATCATCTTGATGACTAGGGAGATGATAGCTCCACTTTACTCTGCCCTGGCCTGATCATACCTGGAATATTATGTTTAGTTCTCAGCATTGAATGTTAGGAAAGCTGATAAGTTGGAGTGTCCAGAAAAGGACAATAAAGATTGGGAATGCCCTGAAGATCATGCTTTATGAAGGATGAAGGAACTGGGGGTGTAGATCATGGAGAAGAAAAGATGGGGAGGAAATTGGACATGATAGCTGTCTTGAATTATTTGAATTGAATTATTGAATTATTTGAAGGAATATGGAACACTGGAACATTTCAAGATTTATTCTGCTTGACCAAAGAGAGAAGAATTAGGAGTAACAGGTAGCAAACTTAGGCTCAATATCAGGAAAAAAAAACCTTTTTAACAATTAGAGTTATCCAAAAGTGGAATGGACTGCCTTGGGAGATCTTGGGTTTCCACTTGCTTGTGATCTTTTTTAAAAAATTCAATTTTATTTATCTCAATCAATGAAAACTTCCCTTTTTTCCCTCGTACGTCCCTCTCCTCCACTGGGAAAAACAACCCTCCTGTTACAAGAATGTGTAGCCAAGCAAAGCAAATTCTCACAATGGCCTCATCCAAAAAATGACATCTCCTTCATCTATGTGGAGGTAGGGAGCATGTTTCATCTTAAGTCCTTTGGAATCATAGTTAGTCATTGCATTGATCAGAGTTCTTAAGTCTATCAAACTTGTTTACCTTTACAATATTGTTGTTATTGGAGAAAATGTTCTCCTGGTTCTGTTCACCTCACTGCGTTAAATCATACAAAATCTTCCCATGTTTCCTAAAACCATCCCCTCCATCATTTCTTACGGAACAATAGTATCCCGCCCCATTCGTATACCGTATATAACTTGTTTGGTTATTCCCTAATTAGTGAGCGCCTCCTTAGTTTTTACTAGTGGCCTTGAAGCAAAGTCTGAGGCAGAGCTACTTGTCAGGTTGACTGTAGAGGATATACTTGGTGAGGGAAAGGATGGATTAAAGTCTCTCTGAGGTGTCTTCCAATTCTGAGATTCTGTCATTACTGCTCCTGGAAAGTCTTTCTAGATGAGAAGTCAAGACCCTGTTGAATGGGTCTCCACCACCCAGCTGTCCTTGGTCCTGTCTGTTTGATAAAGGAGAAGAAGCTGATAAAGTCCATGCCACCTAGGAGCACTCAGTCTACTGGGGATGACTAGAGTGAATGCATAGGACCCAATTAGATAATAACATAAAGAAGCATAATGAGACTTCTTTTCTTATTATATTTTATTCTTCCCTAATTACATGTAAAAACAATTTTTAGGGGCAGCTAGGTGGCGCAGTGGATAGAGCATCAGCCCTAGAGTCAGGAGGACCTGAGTTCAAATCTGACCTCAGACACATGATACTTACCAGCTGTGTGACCCTAGGCAAGCCACTTAACCCCGATTGTCTCACTACCAACAACCCCCCCCCAATTTTAAACATACTTTTAAAAAAGTTTTAAGTTACAAATTCTATCCCTCCCTTCTTCCCTCCCCCCCTTTCCTGGGAGGGTAAGTAATACATGCAGTTTATATATGCAGGCAGAGACTCCTGATAGCAGTTGTAGGAATAATGGCACTAATAATAAACATTTTTATTGCATGGTGATGTTACTATTTTGCTGATGAGGAAGCTAGACTCTAAATCTTGTCTGATGTCCTGAAAACTAGTAAAGGGCATTATTGGGGTCAGAGGTCTCAACTGTGAATCCTGGCTCTGCTATTTATTGCCAGTGTGATTGTGGAGAAATCACTTGACCCCTCTGAGCCTCAGTTTCCTTTTCTGTAAAATGAAGGGTTGGACCATGTGACTTCTCAGTCACTTCTAGCTCCAGGACCAAGACGCCATGACCTCAGCCACCAGCAAATCCAAAGCACCTAAGCAAGAATCCTTGAGAGTATTACATGGGCTTGTGGTGAGAGGGAACTCATTTCATCACAAGACAGCCCATTCCAGGTGGGTTGCCACTGGATCATTTCAGTTGTGACCCCATTTGGGGTTTTCTTGGCAAAGATACTGGAGTAGTTTGCCATTTCCTTCTCCAGCTCATTTTACAGATGAGGAAACTGAGGCAAACAGGGTTTGCCCAGGGTCACACAGCTAGGAAGCGTCTGTGACTGGATTTGAACTCAGGTCTTCCTGACTACAGGGCCAGTGCTCTATCCACTGAGCCACCAGCTGCCTCTACATTCCATTATGAACAGTGATGAAAAAGTTCTGGCTAATGCTGAGCTGAAATATGGCTTAGTTCTTACAGTGCTCCTCATTCTTCTTTATCTAATTGGACATGACCAATCCTTCTTCCACTGGGCAGCCTTTCAGATACTTGAAGGCAGCTGCCATGTTTCCTCCCCTCCCCCCAGTTTTCTCATCTCCGTGCTAAACATCCCCAGTTCCTTCGATTGATTGTACTAGAGCTAAGAGACCCAAAGCCCCAGAACACCCTGGAATTGTAGTTGGGCTACAGCTCCTAAGCCAGAGAGCCAGGCCAAGGGATTCCTTAGCCATGACTGTCCTGAGTCTGGCTAGGCACTAAAAGGCTCCCTTCCCAGCAGTCGCAGATATCAAGGAACCACAAAATCAGAATCACAGAATTTGAAAATCAGAAGGGAGCTCAATGGCCGCCCCACCTGACCTGTACTGAGGAAATATCCTCTCTCCAACATATCTGATGAGTAGTCGGACAGCCTCTGCCTGAAGATCTCCAAGGAGGAGAATCCTACTATCTTGTTCTACTCTTGAACAGCTCTAGTTGCTAAAAAGTCCATCTAGCCCAAGCCCAACTCTTTGAAATCTCCCTCCATGCTCCCAGTTCTGCCCTCTGGGGGGAACAGAACAGAGTTCATCCCTCTTCTCCATAACTGCCCTTCAGATACCTGAAAATGGCTATTAAATTCCAGGATTTTCTCCAGGATTAACACCCCAGGTTCCTTCACTTAATCCTGGTTATGGCATAACCTTGAGGCCCTTCCTGATTCTAGTGCCCTCCTTTGGATGTTCTCCAAAATAATTCACACTTTTTCTAAATCATGAGAACTCAGAATTGAACACCGTACTCTCAGTGTGGTCAGACAAAGGTAGAGTACAGCAGGACTATCTTTCTTTATTCCTGGAAGTTCTCCCTCTCTTAATGTGGCCCAGGATCACGGCTGTCATTTCCCACTGTTGTGACATACTAAACTTGTGGTCTACTAAAATCCCCGGGTCTTTTTCTGACCAATGGCTGTCTAGCCACATCTCCCCCAGTAATCCCCTTTGACTTCTCAAGTTACTTTCATCACCCTTACAATCTTTACAGGAATTCCCATTTGACAGATGAGGAAACCAAGGCCCAGAAAGGTCAGGTCACTTATCCAAAGATACAGAGCCAGCTGCTTCAACAACTGGAATGCAGATCTCTCTAATCCCAGCCCTGTGACCTTTCTATGACCTCCCATTGATACTCCTAATGTGTACCCCACAATCCTGGAAATTAATTCCCTGCTCTGGGGGTTGGTGGGTATAGGTATAACTCTTGCCCAAGCAGCCTCTGGAAAGGAGAGGATGAAGGCAGGAGGAGGTCAGGGGCCCCCTGGAGAAGCCGGGATTTCCATTTCTGCCCTTTGCCTAGAAACATGTGGGAATGTTTTCATCTAAGGAAGGGTGACATCTGTTCACACGCTAAATGTGCCTGTTCGGCTAGCCCCAGAGCTCATCCCTTCCTTGCATTCGGCCTGTGGACCATGCTGTCTATAGCCTCAGAGTAGCCCTCCACCCTCACTCACAGCCCTTAGCTGGAGTTCCTTACCCAATTTTCCTCCTGGATCTCCCTTATCAGGCTAAGCCTGGGAGCAGGGAGGGGAGGGAGGGGATAGAAGGCTGGTGAGTCAGATGTGAAGGTATTTCTCCAGCAGCTTCTTTTCAGGAGATAAGGACTTGCCAGATAGGTTCCCCACCCCCACCCTCCCAGGCCTGAGAGGGCCTTTTCCCCAGTGTTTGGGGGCCTCCCGTCCCCTCTC